TCCCCACTTGCTGCTTTCTGTAGCAATGGTGTCAGCTCCTTTTCCTTCTTCCCTGACAGTAACCGTCATCTGGTTCTGATGGGTAAGCCTGGCCCCGTGAAATGCATTTCATGTGTCTTTTTTTCTGCTCTCTAATAATTTTCTCCTCCAGTTACCGCTCGCCCTTGCCACCATTCCTCCTCAGCAGCTGAGGAGTGAAAGCCTCTGTAAGTCTTTGCTCTACTGGCAATTAAAGGTAATGAAGGGTAGGCAAATCTGTGGCTCAATGGTTGTGTCTGCGTGCCTGCTATCCCAGCCAAATTTGGTTTTAATTTTCACATGCTGAGCTGGAAACAGTACTGTTCCTGCAGCCTCAGAAGCACTGAGCCTCTCCTTGACGCTTCCTCCAAGCTCCCTGCCCTCCCCAGTTACATCTTCTGGTTTCTCCCTCGCTCTATCTCCCCCCTTCATTTTGGCTCCCTCACCCCATTACTGCTCCTCATCGCGCCCCTCAGCACCGCTCCTGGCTGGTCCCCAGTGCTGCGGTGCCCACCAGCATGCCACTGTCACAGCACCAGCTCCTGGAGTCCTGTGAATACCCTGGAGTCTCAGCTTGGTTACAGAGATAAGTTAGGAAAAGTGCCCCCAGGGGCTGAAAAGCCAGAAAGCAAATGAAAAGGAGCCAAATACGCTGGTTTTAAAATCTCCATGATGTTTTAAGACCTGACATGAATTTGGACTCTGTCTCAGCTCTTCAGTGCTTGAAGCTAACACCATTGCTGTCTCCCGTCATCCCATTCCTCCTCTGTTTCTCCTTTAATTATTTCTATTAACGTGCCACTTTGTTCTGCCCCTTATCTGCCTATGCCTCCTCTTCCAGCTCGCTGTTCCCCTGAGCTGTGTCTGTTCAAAGCTCTCCAAGCCTGTGTTTGGCCTCAGCTTTCACCGCCCCCTCCACCATCCCTCCTGTTTTCCAAGTCCCTCTTCTACTTTTAGCAACCTAATGATTAGTCCAGGACACCAAGGCTTTGCAGCTGCTGCTCCTGAGAGAAGGAAGAAAGGAGAGAAAGAAAGAAAGAAGAGATTTCCTTTTCCAAACCTGTTGGTCTTCCAGATGTGCATAGTGTCAGGGTCTGTGATCCCTCTCTTCTCTGCTTGCTCCTCCAGGAAGTCAAAGAAATACTTCACGGCCACAGGTGGTTTGTCGTCTCGGATACTGAGAATGGCTTTGAACAAGTCGTCCAGGAACTTCTGCAGCGTGCCCTGTGGGACAAGCACACACGGTGGAGTCTGGGGAAAGCAGCAGCACCCGAGCCCAGGAACACAGCGCAAGGGGCTGCGACTGCTGCGCACAAGGGGAAATCCGTTGCTGCCAGTTGGACAAATCACAAGAGAACGGAGATGCCGAAGCAGGGAGGGAAAGGTTTGTTTGTGCATAGCGATATAATTAGCTTGCATTTGGGTTTAATTTCTTTTGGCATTGAGATATTCTTTCTTACTGCTAGGATGTCACATCTGTGATTGTTCTGCACAGTAAATACAAAGAAGACTAGAGACTGCTGGCCATTCTTGTGATCTCTGCTCCAGTGAGGCATCATGCTGGGATTAAAGATGGGCTGGGAGCCCAACTGCTGGAGCTGAGCACTCGCAAAGACTGGGGAAGTTCAGATCTGAATTAAGATCGCACAGACATTCCCCCTGCTCCCAGAGCCGAGCATCTCCACCTCCTCTCCCAGCAGGATCTCCCACTGGGCAGATCAGTACAGGTCTAACTGCGCATCACGAGCCCCGCGGCAGTCAGCAGCCCTTTCATGTGCGCAGACCCCGGACCAGCCTGGAGAGATCGTGTGGGGCTTCACGCAGCAGCGCCGCCGCTCCGAGGGCGAGCTGGGAAGCTGGAGGGAGCCCGAGGAGCCCACGGTGCCCGGCTAAACAGGCTCCAGCCGGCCAGGACAGAAGAGTCCCACTGCCCCTCGAGAGGGACCAGCCCGCAGTGCTCCTTCCCAGAGCAGGCTGCTCGCTACAGACCACAACCAACCGTCCCCCCGGCTGCCGGCGAGGGCGTCCCGTCTCCTACCTTCGTGGAGAGCAGCCTGGTCAGGTAGATCTCTGGCAGGACTTTCTTCCTATGGCTCTGTCTGTGGGACTTCTTATGTTCAACTGATTCATCGGTTGGGAGAACCTGGTCCAATATAAAACACATGTTCAGAGCACTCCTCTCTGGAAGTGTCACACTGAATTTTCCTTTAAGCATAGTATTTCAACTGCATATAAAATTCAATTAAAAAGCAGTTACTGCGTTATAAGTACACCCTTATATGGCTTTAAAAAAGTGATTCATAATGCACTGTTTTTCTGACATTTGTTTCTCTTGCGCTCTTTATTGCCTCTCTCAAGTTAGACAAAGAAAATGAAACAATCAATCTCACTTTGCATGTTAGCCTGCTCGCCTTCCTGGTCCCTGTGCAGTATCCTCTGTGGCTACAGTTTAGGCTCCCAGAAGCAACACACAAGGCTTCTGCGGAAACCAGCTTTTCTTAGATTTGGAAAAAGTGCAAGAACGACCAGCCAACAGTGCTACCCTGGCCTTTTCAAAAACAAAAATAAATACTCCACCGGTCAGCTCAGTTAGCAACTGCTCTATAATGACCTAGCAAGCCATTTGAGTCCATCTTGGCATTACTTCACATGTGCACATTCACTTGTTCCTTCTCCCTCCTTGCTCTGCATGTACATGTGTGTGCACGTACACGTGTGTTTGCACTCTATTTGAGCACGGAAACTTTAGCAGAGAAAAAAAAATCAGGCTATAAAATATTGTTGTTGTCCATAACACTTTTTTTCATAACAGCTTTTAGCAACATTTAGCACGTTGTACTTCCAGCGTGGCACAGAAGCAGGAACTAATAGATCTCCCCAGCCCAGGGAAGCAGGCAGCATGCCAGGAGCTCCCAGTAGGTAACTGGACCAGGGCTGTGCAAGGTGCTGCCAATGGCGCTGTGCCGTGCTCCGGCCGTGCTCCCGAACCCTCTGGGGCTGCTGACAGCTAGATCAGGCACAACAGTTACTTTGCCATCCTGGTAATTTTTGATGATGTCCCACAGTACTAAAGCTTGTCTCCAGACAACCTTTCTGCGCCTCTTTGAGCCGCTCTGAAGAAAACCAACGAGCCCTGATCCAGCTTGTTCATCACACCTGACGCGCCAGCCCACAGAGATGAATTAAGTTCCTATCAGCATGGCTGAGAAGGTTTTCTCCTCTTTCATCACACACACTGAAAAAACAGGGCCCACAGATGGAAGCGAGGAGAGACGAAGCATCTCTGGGCACACGCAGCCCGACTGGTCGCCTCTTTGCTCCCAGCGCCTTCCAGGCTGACGCCTTCCACGGGGACGTCTCCCCAACAGCC